TAGGTTCGCGATAGGAGAAATCGAAAAAATTTGAATTTCATCGATTCAGCGCCATCTATCAAGAATAAAAAAAAAATGTTTTAGACAAATCATACGTACTTTTAGCTGTACATTCCAAATCTGTAATAAAAAATAGTAGTTCTTATTTAAGGTTTCGAAGTTAACCCCGACCCCACCTTCAACCACAATTTTTATTCTATTTCTAGAGCTCATGATTCAAATCTTTTATCGATATTTAGAACCCAACTTGATGATTATAATAACGACTAATTTTTTCAGTTTTTTTGCAGCTGCTTCCACTTGAACAACCCACAGCTTTACTATTAAATTAAAGTAAAAATGTATAAATTTCACAAAGCTGCATCATTAATTACCAACCTTGGTGGATTTAAACTGAATTACGATTTCACAATACAACTCTTCCACGAAGCAATTTAGAAGCAACAAGTTATTTTTTGCTACTCTACAATATACGCCTCTGTTTAGAGTTTGGCGACCGAAATTTTATTAGTATACAATAGTTATTTGTTTCATTAGTACAAAAAAAAAAAATCGGGATATGAAGGAAGTTTGCTGGTCCATACCTTGCCAAGTTCAAGGCCTGAAAACAAATTTTTTGTTCTAATAAAATATTAAATTTTTTTCTCCAAACGCTTTTATTTACCAAACTGAAAATTATTTAAGAATTAAATAATCCTAATTTTAATTAAGTATTTCGAGAGTTGATTTGGTTAAACAACTTGTTTGCAATGAAAATATATTTTTGCTTAATCAGTTGTTAGTAAAATGATAATATCCAATGTACTACGTATTATATCACCCGAAACTGATTAGCTAAAATTCGAGGTCTAATTATTTTTTGTGCGTGTACAAAAAGAAAATTACTTTTTGTATAGTTACTTAGTTAGTATGGTGATACGAACAATCCCGAAATAATATTCTTTTAGCTTTTGCAACCTATATTTAAAATTTATTTCTAATTGTCTGTATATAATTTGAAATACAGTCGGAATTTTTACGACAGAGCTTTAATTGAGTTCAAGTCAATGTCGGGTGTCAGAAAAACGTACCATGAAATAGTATGTTTACGTAATACATATAGTTCTACCTAGCAATTAAAAAACATTAAAAATTATCACAAAAAAAAACATCGTCTGTAATAACGTTATAACATGTTTGGTTGGGTGAAATGCTATATATAAACAATATTTTCGTTTAGATTCATTCAGAGACAGACATTATCTAAATTGTTTTTTCCTAATCAAAGGCTCTACTGCTACTATGATGTTAAAACGTTTTATCTAACTTAAAATGCCTTTTAAATGCTTGTATGTAGAAATGATTATTCAGAATGTTTGAAAATCAATATCGAATTTGAAGGAATTTAGTCCTTCATATTCAAAACTTAAGCATCTTGTCATTAAATGTTAATTATTCTAAATTGCGAAAATCTTTTAGAGACTTTTATTATAAACTTTGTTGAAAATCGTCCACTAAATTTTGAGAGGAACAAATCAAAAGCTACAAACTTTAGGGTGGCAAACCTGGGATTCTCTTTTCGTTACACATAAACAGAAATCGTTACATTGACCTCGTGTGGCAATCTCAGATAACGAGGAATGGAGCAACAAATCGCCAAAATAAATTTAAGCTCGTATTTTTCAAGAAGATTCCTGGATCATATTTTCAGAGTTTAAAAAAATACACCATAAATTACATAAACTTATTTAACTAATGTCAAATTAATCAATATTGTTACAAGCAAAAATTACTACGTCCGTCAAAAACCGATGATAAAAATGTTAAAAAAATAGATACTTATTTTATGGAACGGAATTGCAAAAACAGTTAAGAAATTTAGCCGATTTTACAGTTTTGAACGGCTGTCTCCTGACAACTTCATAAAAATACAACGGCAAAAAGTGATTGTAAAAATAAAGTTTATGCAAAAATATGTAACGTTAAACCCAGTATAATGGACTAGAACGTTCCTCGTCCCTGAAGTATACTCCAACAAAACAGTAAAAACCAGGGCGCGCCCCACGTATGTGCGGGAATATGAAAAAATATTTAAAGCAAATAAGGATAACCAGAATGAACATATATTCTAAGTAAGTACATGCGGAACTTCGACTGTTTATATATACATTTCCACGTATAATTTTTAAACTGATCACATCCTCTGAACAAAGAACTCATCATCTATTTGTTACCAGTGATCGCCTCAACTTATCAATTGTCATTAAGTGTAAAGTAAATCTGCAACAATATTCAAAACACTTATCATCCGTTCTGGGGGAGGTTGGGAACCGAGTGTTCGGACCAGAACACTTGCAGTCAAGGTCGAACGTCATGAAATCGTTTGATCTGTTTAAATGTGCATTGTCTTCTAGGTAGACGTTTAAAAAAATGTTGTTGCAGATGTGAAAAGATATCTAAAATCCAGATAGAACTGCTTGCGGAAGTATAAGGTTTTCTTTAACAAGAAACGACATACCTGCTCCGCTAAACAAAATGCAGAAAAAACAGAATCTGAAAATTCAATTCCGATACACATGCTAATGTTACAAATTTGCAAGCTCTAAGAAAGAATGTATATTCTACAGAGTTTTGAATAATTTTAATATCTTTGAAGCAGCTGTGAAACTCTGCTATGAAATTTAGAAGAAAAGAAGAGAAAAAAGAAGCGAATCTTCTTTTTTTTTTATACTTTTTGTGGTCTCAATGTAGAGTCCACATGTTTCATAAGCCTTGGAATCTGTAAAATGAATGCACGATATATGACGTAAATGTGTATTCTGTAGTTTGGTGGTAGTGTCAATACGGTGACCAACAGTTACAGTGTGGGTGCAGTAGAAGAGAGGAGGCCTAATAAGAAGCTTTCTATTGCTACAAAATTTCAAGAAAACTGTCAACGTCGCATTGGTATTTCAAAAACAAACTGCTTTTGTAAAGCAAGAGAAGACGCCAATCATAATATGTAAAAATATATAGGATGCTTCATTAAAAAAACGAAGTTGTATGTTACACCCTAAAAACAGGACACTCTGTATAATTAAAAATGATTTTGGAGTATAGTCCTTAAAACATCGTACAACTTTGCTCTTTTGCTTTTTGTTCTATTTCTAATAATTAATAAGATATCGAGGAAGGCGCGTTTAGTGACTCACCCTGTATACACAAAATTTGACAACAATCGATGCGGTAGTTTCGGAGTCATGAAATATGGAGAAAACATTAAAGTAGCTAGTCGTTGGACCTTACTAAAATATGTACTTCCTTAACTCCTACTTAGAAAATAAAAATAAAAATAACTAAGTACGTAAAACTGGATAATATCACAATATTAATAGCTTTTATACTTTATGGTCAAACTGATAGTTTCAGTAATATACACTAACTTATTAAATATTTGGACACAGTGAAATAAATACAGTAAATACAAAATTATTAATAAAAAGAGACAAGTGTCAGTGTTGTATTATTTTATTTAAAAAGAAAATATTAAATTCACGGAATTTTCCAATAACAAAATTTTTAAAATAAATACGTATTGAAAATATATTTCTAAAATATACATACATTTTTAGGTGCTCGATAATTATGTTTATATCCTTTTCTGTTTGTTTATTATTTCTAATTTCCTTTAACTTGATTTTCTTTTATTTTAGTGTTACTAATCTAATTATTTATCAAACAGAAAAAAACACTTCAACAAGTTAAACAAAAATCTGAAAGAAAGGGATCATTTTTATGCACAAATATTAGACTTGAAATAATTTCTAGCTTCACTTCACTTTAAAGAATGGTTTACTGTCGTTATAAAACGTAATGTACTAAGAAGCGCAAATTCTGTTTTATTTTTGCGACAGTTTAAATGATTTGACAAATTAAATTTTACAATTTATCTCAGAATTTTTTTCTAAAATCTCGGCAAGTTACTAACATTGATTCAATAATATAGAACAGATATTAAAATTGCTTTATTCATCTCTAGAGAAAGTTGCAAAAATGGATTAAATAAATGTTCGTTTAAAAAAGTTTTTCGAGATGCAAGGTTGTTCGTCGTTTACTGCCATATTCCAATTTTTTTAGAATTGTTTATATAGGGTGTTGAGAAAGATATGTATGAATCAGTTAATAAATTGATTAAATCCAAAATAGTTTCCTTATTCTTGCCAAAAACCCAGGAATATACTACTACTTTTTATTTTAATATGTAGGGGTTACCATAATAATAATAATTAATAATACAAAATTGAAAAATTTGTGAAATGACAAGTTTTCGAATTGAAGAATGTTTTTCAGGAATAATTCAACTAACTGAAATTATAAAATTGTATATTGTCTTCTTTTCGGTGTAAACCTAAGTACTGGAACAAATATTATTATTTTTCTAAAACAGAATTGTTTTCTAGCTTCCTTATAATTTAATTTGTTTCTTATAATTTTTTTTAAAGCAACTCTGAATAGTATGTTGAAATGACACACCCCACATATCAAGTCTTTTATTGGTATTTGATCTTCTATCGAAGTTTTGTCGAGGAATCACATCGTAAAGAAACGCGTTTCGATTTCAGCATCATTCATGTCAACGATAACCCACTACTTCACTTAGCTCTTCCGTTGCATTAAACTGTAACTTTAATAAAAAAATCTATACGAAATGATTATATTTTCCGCTCTAAAAATTTTACATCGGGAATGTACTGCAATTATTCGTTCCAATACATTAATAAAATTCCGACAGAAATGACATTCATGTTATAACGTTTAACGTTATAATATCTGATGATCTAAAATAACATTTAAAACTGGCAAAGAATTATTATATACTACATATTTTGCTTTTAATTTTTAACAATTTCTATCGATCCCATAACTGCATTATTTATCCCGGCGCATCCACCATTATTACCACATGTTTCAAGCATTACTCGCATTTTGCTCTTCTTTTGACGGCATTTATCACCCACTTTAATATCCTTGTCTTTTTGCAGATTGCTATAAAAGTTGAAACTCACTCCTGCCGTCACGGCACAAAAAGAGCAAACCTTGAGAAGAACCAGAACCAAAGATGCATTCCTTGTAAGTATTTGTAACAGCTCGTCATAAACGGGGAAGTTTCTGCTGATCTGTTTTCTTTGCTATTTGTAATAACTACCCACGAATTGAAACAAAGAATAACGGCACCATCAATCTTGATGGGAGTAAACTTAATTGTGTTAAGTGATAAACTGGATTAAAATAAGGTTTCAATATTTTATGACCTTTTTCACCATCAATCATACTTTTACATCTCCGATGCCATTCATTAAATTGGCCGTAGCTTGCGAGAAATATTTATTTATTGTGGGATGTGTTATAAGAGATGACCTGCTAAATCGATTTTGCTTTTATGTGTTTAGGAACGACTTTCTTGATTTTAATAAAGGTGGAGATTATTTTTGCTGAACACTATTTAGAAATTTGTGTCCCCTGCTTATGTTTTATTTAGTGACTCAGTATTAATAAAAATGTCAACTGGCCTTTGTCAATGTCACGTTTTTATCCAAGTTTTTTTTTTAATTTTCTTAACTTGAGCTTTATGGTGCTCGCGCTATTTCTAACAAAAGGCAGCCAGAGTTCACTGCCGTAAAACGGAATTATTTAGGATAAATTTACTTTACGAAACATTTAGTATTAAATGCAAAACCCGTCAAAACTAAACGTACTAATAACATAATGGGCACAAATAATAATATAATATCATTACTTGGTCTTAGTACCCGTAATGATAGAAGTCTTGCCTGAATGCCGGTCATTTCCGGGTCAGTGGTGGGTCTTAATAATGGGGTGAGATTAGAGAATAATAGCAGACTAATTTGTATGCTGTAATTCTATCTCGAAAGTTGTTTTGTTAATCTAATCAATGCATATCATTATTTGGTCTTAATACCCGTAATGATAGAAGTCTTGCCTGAATGCCGCTCATTTCCGGGTCAGTGGTGGGTCTTAATAATAATTTTAAATAAAGTTAATAAATAACATTTTAAAATTGATTTATTTTGAATAATAATCATAACCACCACTAACCAAAACATTAACAACAATAATCAAGTTATTTTTGTTAATGTTTTGGTAATAAAGTAAAAAATTCTGGAATAACATTTCGAACCCTAGAATATTAAATTTTTGGTAATGTGGTAATGTAATTATTGTCAACTTTGAAGCACAGCATTTGTGAAGAGAAATCATAAAATACATATTTTTCTCTTGGTGAAATAATGACGTTAGTGGAACTGCATAACGAACATATCTGGAATTTCTTATCGTTATTAAGGTTTAGCATGCTATTCAAACCTTCAAACTTGTTCTAAAAGGACACATCACTATTTCACGTGCCCCGCTCCTGCATATATACATGGTCTCTATAAACTTTGGAAAAAGTAAAAACAAAATGCTCAATTTAGATTTGAATGTACTACAGGCAGGTTAAACACATTTTTGTGATAACTTATTTTTATTTTGTAAATAACATGGAAATAGAAAAAAACAGTATTTCCGTAAAACTTCTTATCTACTTAATATGACTTTTCACTCGGATGACATCTTAAGAACCCAGTTGAACTTTTATTTCATTTGTTTTATGGTAGCAACCATTTTTAACATTACGGCCTGAGTTTATATTTTCCGAAAAAATGGACGGTGTTTTGTTGACAGTAAACTTTATTAAAAAAAATATTTCGATATTATTATTTTCCAATTTGAAAATATTCAATTAAAAAAATAGCATTTCTACACATGAAAATCATCATCGGAAAGTCCTCCTAACATACAACTAATTTGTGTAGAATTGAAATCGAACAGTTTTAAATTTCTGATGGAATTATTCAAGCTTTATGGGTATACAGTACATACATTTTTAGATTAGGTTATTGTTCAGGAACATTGACCGTAAACATCTTTTAGAATGATAAAAATAAAAATATCAATGCTATAAATTGCTAAAAATATTATATACATATGTTCATATGCACGTCCCATGCCTAAAAATTCAAAACGCAACCAACAATACAATTTATTGACAGTCTTTAATATTTACCATTGTTAAATTTTATATATATTTTTATACATTCTTATGCGCTTGGCTTTGATAATTTAGAAATAAACGCCAATTTTTAAGTTAAAAGCAAGAATAAATAAATACAAAAGGAGAGCTCTGAAAAACGAATTTATCTACAAATCAATGCAATAAACATTTCAAACGCTGTCCTTACTGCACTTGCCATGTGTGAAATTCACGTCAATCTTTTCATGGTTTAATACTTAAATACATTTTGCATCAATTCTGTCGAAATGTTAATTTTAACATGATACTATCTGACATTACATCAAGATGGTTAAAACAATTACCAAAAAAGAGATCATTGTTTTACTTAAAAAAGTAATAGGTCGAAGATTATTTCACCGAACTTCCGTCGGCCGTATTATAATACAACAATTCCAGCTGTTTCGGAAAATTATAAGAATTGATTTTGGGAATTTTATTTTTATGATAACCCTTATAAGCTAAAATAAATGAATGCAATGTTCAAGTAAAGGCAAACAAGCGTGCTACGCATTCGTTTCAAGTGAGTTTTTCCATTACAAAATTTTGTGATGACGTCATCAATTTTTTTCAAGAACAGGTATGTATATCAATTTGGATAAATGCAGTGTAATACTAACAGTAATAGTACTCCCAAATTTTCGGGAAAATCGAGTAAGTTGTTCTGAAATCTTGATTTAATCAATAAAATAACGAAACAGTTTAATCACGTCCGCCATGTGCAACTGAATTGAAAAAGATTTATAAGTACTCCTAGTGTAGGACAAAAAGCGATAACGCTTGTCGAGATTGTACATGTGAGAGTGAAACAGAGAAACTAAACTAAGTGACATTTTCTACGAATTGCAGTAACCGGATCACAATGCAATGTTCCAGACTCTTTTACTGTTTCGACTTCCGCTTATTAAATAAAACATTGTATTTTTTTTACATATACATCTACTCGTATTTATATAATAAATATTTTATATAAGTGTGTCTAGGTCTAGGGAGACAAAACATTTTTCTAGGGGAGACACATACTCTTCTGGCCTCCCCTAGCTACGGCTCTGTCTAGGGGTCATGAAACGTAGAGAAAATATAAAAGTACAAGGTCGCCCGATGGACTCGATTGCTATACTTCCGTATCTTACGCTAAGTAAGTAAAAATGGCTTCACAGCAATAATAACAACTACTTTAACTACATCGGAAGAATGTCATGTAGAAATTGATTTGAATCAGTTTGGCGTCTTAAAACAGAGGTTTAAGATTATTAATTAAAAGGCATGCGTATTTTTGCATTGTAGAGAGAATCGGGTGTCTCGTTCTTAATTTAATCAATAAAAGATCAATTAGAAAATGATTGATGTTATTAAATTTATTTATATAATGAAAAGGGGTAGGGTGGTTAGACAAATATATTTTGATTAAAAATTTACCGTGCTTGCGATAACCTTGAAACGGCTGCAAGATTTCAAAACATTCTATTTTGCAATTCCTGATTGTAAGCAATTCTAAATATAGAAGGCAATGATAAGTCATAAGTATAGACGCATCATATTTCGCACATTTTCGATAGGATTTATTCGGTAAAATTTTTCATTGTAGATAAATAGACACATTTTGAATAAAATTTTACCACGCTTCCGATAGCTTTGGAACGTGTGCCAGATGTCAAGGCATTTGATTTTGCAGGTCAGATGTAATCCACAAAATAAACTGACTCATTCAATAATTTTTTTGACTCACCCTCACCCCAAATTCGACAAGTATTCATAAACTACACGTGTAGGAATATGTTACTTTATACAATTTGAAACCCATTTACTATGTATCTACAAACTAAGCTAAGAATGTATTGCAATCAAGTCCATCAGGCGACTGGCTACTTTAATATTTTCTCGCTATGTCATGACCCCTAGAGTATGAAAAAATAAGTTTCCCGTTTCTGTCTGTTTGTCTGTTCGCCGTCTAGAGCCGTTTGTGTTAAACAGATAATAATCTATTAAACCGATTGTTTTTATAGGTTTATTATGAACATCATGTATATAGACGGTAAAATGCTAACCAGACATTGCCTAGTCATCGCCACCAACAATGTGATTATATGAGTATAATATTAATAATAATAATAATGTTAATTATTACTAATATTATACTGCACCTGTTCAAATTGATATACTTACGTATCCTTGTTAAAATGTTGATGATGTCATCACAAAATTTGGTTTTGGCAACACTCATTTGAAACGTGCTCATAGCTTGCTTCTTTACCTGGACTTTAACAATTCACACATAACTTTATAGTAGGGATTGTCATAAAATAATAATAAATCATAAATAACATTATTAGTGTTATATTTTTCCGAAGAAATTCATAATTGACTGGTTACTAAAAGTTGAAAAATTTGAAATTTTCGTGTAACATATTTCTCAAGGGTGACAATATATTAACCTTCACTCAGTTTAACAACGAGAAAACGAAGAAAATAAGAAAAATGTAATGTATAAGAGCTCTAAAATTACATTGATATACTTGGGGGAATTTTTTAAATTTTGGCAAGGTGTTGTAAAACGGTATATTTGTGTATCTATCTTCGTGTAGCACACAGTATGCGTTTCCTTTTCTAAAATGCTAATAAGCGCGGGCATTCTTTACCTGTGTAAATACAGTGCACCAGTCGAAGGCCGAAATAGAAACATACTAAGTAGATGTCATAATTGGTACACCTTGTCAAAATAAAATAATTCTACTCTAACAATGATTTCATATTTATGGTATAAACTATTTCGTGGTTCAATTTTAGTATTCTTGGGATGTGTCGCAGAAAATCCTAAAAAATAAAATAAAAAAACCAAATAGCGTAGCGAACGTGTTGTGCTTTTGTTTGCACGTTTCTGGGCAAAATTTTGTATGCAATTTTTGATGTGCAAATAACACTTTCGTTATTGACGCCACCGTATAATTTGCAACCCTAGCGTAGTGTTCTTTATTCTAGCAGTTAGTCAACAAGCACT